TTGTCATTGTTGAAATATTTTTTATACAATAAAATAAAAATAAAAGGAAAATAATCTTATATTCACATTGTAAAAGCGTATAACATATTAAAATATTAATTATTTATTATGTCAATATAACTAACATCTTTTACAAATAATTTTTTATAGTTTTCTTTTTCTTGAGCATTTGTAGGTTAAGTCAGGAGAGGAACAAACTGGTTCATTTTCGGAGTGGTGTTTTGGCTGCCATCTATAGTACGTATAAACTTTTTACGAACTAAAATTCCATATCGCGGTCTAGATGGATGAGGTAATTCAATTTCTGGATTTTAGAGCCAGAATGTATTAAGTCGATTTTTTAAAAATTGTCATCGTCAAAAAACTGAAAAAGAAACGGAGAGAAACGAACAAATTGTTATTTATTTTTTTACTAAGTACCACAATTATAACTTTACATTCGTATTTTATTTTTTCTATCACAGATATGAAATTGCCGTTGATCCACGCTTGCGCTCATTATAAAACAGTGTTTGGTTGTTTGATGTGCTCGCTCAGATGCTCAGGATCACTCACAATCACTGACAATCACTGATAATCGCTGACAATCATTAATGGCGTCGTCATAGGCCATAAGTATAATTTACGAGGGTGCTACCGTATTATATTTTACGACAAATGGCGATAAGAGGGAAATTCAAATGTGAGATGTAATGTTATGGTCATATGTAGTTGTATATTTCGCGAAGCCTATGCCTCCCTGACCAGTGTAGTCACGAAAAGTTATTACGCAAGGAGTGGGGGGCAGGCAAAGCATGCGCAGGGAGCCTCACACAGCGACGCGGCTTATGTGACTGTATCCGCGTCGCCCAAACTTGGGTAGGTATAAAAATAACGGTACAGTCAAACCTGTTTTTGTGCGGTCCTTTTATGCGGTAGGGACCGCAGAAAAACCGCACAAAAAAGATCGCATAAGAAAGACCGCACAAGAATAGATTTGAGTGTACAAGGTACAATTCAATGCAATAGGCCATTTGGTAGACGCGCCGCGCCGCTGAGCGGGACTCCCGTGCACGCGTCGCCTGCCTCCGCTCCTTGCGTAACCACTTTTCCTGAATACACTGATCTTAGCCAGTGTGCTAAGATTGCGAAGCAAATTGGCACAGGTGACTCGGGATGGGGGTAGTACAGTAATGTCTCTCTAATTGACGCTCAGATTGGCCACAAAAATGGACAATTTGGGAAGAGGAGATACGATTATTCGAGCCTTGCGGTTTATTTTTATAGTTATAAATTGTCCACAATTATAAAAACGAGCAGCAAGGTTCGAATAATCGTATCTCCTCTTCCCAAATTATCCATTTTAGTGGACAATCTGAGCGTCAGTAAAGGAGACATTACTGTAATGGGGATACCATTGACATGAAAGTCCATGTTACATGCTACAGGGGAAAGTATCCCCTATCTTTTGAGCCTGTACAGAATTCTCCAATGCTTTCAATTTCTACGTAATACCAAAAAATAGTCCGCGTTTACGAAAACTGCAGATGGAGCAATTTCATTTTCAGATTCATGATTCGGACGAGTAGCACTACAAAGATCATTTATTGTTAGTTGATGTTGAAAACTATAGAAAAAATTTCTGGTAGACAGTGTTATTGATATTTTCTTGTTCAATTTTTCATTACATTTCGCCTTATTATATTTAATTTTTTCATGAGAAAAAAAATTCGTTAATATAAAAGTTGAACTACAACACTTTACGGTCGAACTTCGAAATGGATGGTAATGTAAGATTATAATAATATAGGAAGTGATAAATAGTACTAAATCAATAGTATTTATGAATTTTGTAGATAATGTTTCATTGAACGTGCGTTTACCCGTTGAGCGAGAAGAAGATAATTTTAATTAATGAAAGACGTACTTCCTCGAATAAACCGACAACAAAAACTTTTGAAGAATGTTAATTGTTAATGAAGAAAAAGTACAGCATAGGAGTATGCAATTTTCAAATTGTAATATGTATTCATATCTCAATTTTATTAAAATGCTCATGTTTACAATAAATACACAGAAATGAGGAAAAATCGCGCAATAGATCCATGTGTCGTGCCAAAACGTAAAGTGCCTGAAACAGATAACAATACAAATATTTAGCTTTAGAGTCACGTATTAACAATAAAGATTTTGTTTAATTCTGCTTCTTTCAGGAAACTCGACAGAAAATTTGACGGCCAAAAAGACATAAAACTTTATGTGAAAGAAAATTTGATGTCGTTTCTCAATTAAATTCGAATTAACCGATTTGTTAAATAAATATTTACATTGATAATTTATGAACGTTAATATACCTCTAAATAAACAATGCATGAACTTTTATTTTATTACGAACTGTAATTTTCTTTTACATTGTCGACTGGCAAGGATACTCAAAAATGAATTTGATATATCTCAACGATAAATTTGTTAGGTATGTAATTAAAACTTAGCAGTGATTCTTTTTACTTATATAATCAATTCAAATACATCAAATCTATTTCATAAAATTTTATAGTACCTAAATTGTTTCCAATTGGTAAATGAAGCTACCAATTTAAAACTGCCAAAGTATTTTCGTTAGCTATAATCGAAATTAATTATGCGTCTACGGTTTAATAGTTTATAGTGCGTTATATCATACAAGTATTCATATTATTTACTGCAACTTTTTACAACCAAACGCATGATTTCAACAGAAAATCGTTGCTATCCAAACGCGTGATATTACTATACGTAACTTCAATATGTTTGTAATGCATAGAAGTGGTAGACAATGATCGTAAAAAATATCGGCAACTATTTAACTGTCTGCAGTAACTTCCTTATTCGTTAATTATACTTCAATCATATACTCATAAAATATTCGATGTTTCGATGCTAGATACAAGAATGCCTGACCGTTCGATCATATTTCGGTTTGCTATATAAAATAATGCAGACTATTTTCTCAGAATTGAATAGCGATCAAAAGTTTTATATAGCAAATATAACGTTATATTCGAACTAATTACGTTTCCTCAGTATTTAGTATAATACTTTTACAGGCATTTTTTCCGTTGTTTGCACAGTTAAGGAAATAAAACAATAATAATTCGAAGATCATCGAACAGGGTAAATGATATTAAAATTAACATGCTGCGAATTAAGATCCACTTTATTGAATGTACAAAATGATGTACACTGATTTTTCGATAATGATCCATTCTTTGAATATGTAATTTTGATCATCCGATATAACATCGTTAATATATAAACAACATATATTTTCTATTATTTCACTCGATGATGTTTATATTTCTTCAACTATGCAAGCGACAACACGTCTCGCTGGATATTATCTATCGTTTCAAAATGCACGGAAATTCTAAATATCTTTTCATTCAAACTCACGCCCATTTAAGAAACACAAACTAAATTACCAGTAAGCAAAACTTCATTTAACAGCGTTGTAACGTATTCATACGACGAATTATTCAAATGTTTGGAACACGAACGGAACAAGAAATAAATACTTGAATAATACACGAACATCATTTCAAATATTAATATTTATAGTAGCGCTTTTTAGTTCATTTGTTGGTCCGTTTGCCACCCAGTCTTACAATTCTACTATTATATATCGTATTTCATTAACTGTGCAACGCGTGAAAAAAAAAATATTTCGAGCGTATGATACTTGTTTTTAAACGGATCAACCGATAACGTAAAAATTTTTTTTCCCACTACTCGTTTCAACACACAATAATTTGATGACTATTTACTCTTTGAGGGTAACTCGCAATGTAATCTTTAAAATAGCCAGAAAATACCTATACGAAGAAAAAGAAAACGAATGCTGAATCTATATTTAATGATAGGTTCACGTTGTGTTCGAACATAAATATATATTTATGTATAATATATTATTTGGTAATTACTGGAAATAGGAGCAATTTGAATGACCTTGAATTGTGTGTATTAGCACGATGTAGTTTCTGATATATTTCCAAAAAATATTTGCAATGTTATACATGGTGTTAAAAAAAAGTGGCTCGAAACTTTAAGAATTCATAGTACTCATCGGGAGGAGTAAAAAATGTCCGATCAACATGGGAACAAAAGTCAAATCCTTTCGACAGAAAAGTGACTTTTTACATCTAAGAATATTCGATAACGTTAGACTAGCATTAACAAGCATTCTTTCATAAATGCAAATTTAATACAAACCTTCTTCGTCACAGGAAGTTTTCCACGTGTCTTCCCGCTGTTGCAATCTACGGATCATTGATCGACGTACATCTGCAATTATTCCATCCGAATCTCGTATTATTTTTTAAGAGTCCCCATAACAAAATCTAATGGATTGAAATCAGGAAATCGAGGAGATCATTCTATTAGGCCCTTTCGCCGTATCCACCAACTTACTACCTACTACAAAACTTACTATGACACACGAAGAAGGTTCTTATTAAATTTACATTTATGAAAGAATTCTTGTTGATACTAGTGTAATAATTTTTTGGTGATAACCTTCGATGTACTTCCGAATCAATGTCTCTATTTACATTCAATGCGTCGCAGAGAAATTCACTCGCGTTATCGTATATTCTTAAATACTAAAAGTCAATGTTCCGTCGAAAGGATTGACTTTCGGACTCGGAAGGTCTCATATTGATTCGACATTGTTTACTCCTCTCGGCGAGTATTACAAATTCTTGAATCACTTTTCTGCATCCTGTATATTATTTATAATCATGGGATTATTCGTCGCATCAAAAAGTGAAATTGACTCGCTTCAGATATGACATTAAAGACGCGTTCATATACAAGGTGTCCCAAAAGTTACACAACATCGGGAAATGAGGAGTTCTTGAAGCCGTTTGCAATAACTTTTCCCTTAGCGCAAATGCAATTCGCGGCTTTGTTTACGTGTTATTAACGAAAAACAGTGACCAATGAGAGGTGAGGAGGGAGGACGAAGCCCTGTTCCGATCATTGGATCGATCGCCTCGTGCCAGTTGACCTCGCCTCTCATTGGTCATTGTTTTTCGTTAATAACACGTAAACAAAGCCGCGAATTGCATTTGCGGTAAGGGAAAAGTTATTGCAAATGACTTCAAGAATCTCTCATTTCCCAATTTTGAGTAACTTTTAGGACACCCAGTATGTCACGTTTCAGTTTCGAAACACAGATAATTAAGAGACCAAAGCTATTACCAAAGTTATTATTCATTAATGTATATTATTTAACTTACGTTAAATAATAACAAATTGATTCTAAAAATAATATCAATAACATAGAATATGTATGTAGTTTGATTGGTTTTACTATTAAAAATCTTTTACTATTTTTACTATTAATTTCTTACATCGCGCCAATGTTGAATTGAATTTAGGAATCTCATTCAAATCCAGATGTATAGTAAAAAGTCGTTCAGAAGGATGACCTTCATAACGTATTTCAAGATCATTGAAATCAGTGAGGTCGCTGCTGTTCTCAATAATTACCTATTATTTATACAAAAAATTCCGATGTTTGAACAATTAAGATTTGAAATTGTATTAAATATTTTTAGCTATTCGAGTGTTAGTTTCTTCTCGAGGTTTGCTAGCTTGGAGAAGATATGTTATGATTATCATGAATTCTTATCGTAGTTATTGCCATTCATCTGCGATAGAACAGAATTTTCGATAACTTTGATAAGCCTTTGATTCGATAGTTTCTCGATAACGGTTTACGGCACACCCTTCAAAGTAATAAAACAATTTTTGTACAATCACAAAGGTAACATGTAAAACTGATAAATAAGATATGACTGTTTAATCATTCTTCGTGAGGATAATTCTATATATTGTTAGAAATATTTATTACAATTCAAAGTTCAAACTGTATTTACAGGCCTAGCTCGAACAAGTTCGAACGGACGCGGCGTTCGGACGATGTAAAATGTAAAAAGCTTGCAAGACTGTGAACAAGGTCAATTAACTTCAGAAAATTAGGAACCTCGAGATCATCGAATGTGTTCGAATTGAGATTACGGTCTTATTTTTGTCTGCAGTCTGAAAAGTCATAGGTGACTTATAACGCGCGATTCTGTGCGCAGTAACTGCCCACTATTTGAATCAGAGATTAATCACTTTTCGAACAACTAAATTTCATAAAATAAGCGATTGCGAAATAGCGAACAACCCATTGTGACCGATAGAATAGGTCGGATCTATTCTTTTCTTATATGCAGGCTACAGTGTTGGAAGCTTAAGCATCGACGCAGAGGGAAGCATTGACGTACAAACATATGGAAGGTGGTTCAAAGTTCCAAACTTTCTATCTCTAAAGACGGGCTTAGTTTCCAGAATGAAATCGTTCTTTGCTTTTGGATGATCAATGTGTATAACCCTTTAACGACTAAAGTTTAGTCAATTGGAAAAATTCAGATGGATTCCTTCTTGTACACTCCTTCCAATGAGACAAGTCTGTAAACGTAAACATTAAAAGCCAATACCGCGAATGACTGTTACTTTATAAATCATTAACGAAGAAGAAAAGAGATCGCAGGGATATCGAGGTAGAAAGTTAAGTAACAGTTGTATAAAGAGCTGCAGAAGTAAGCTTTTTTGGAAAATGGGCACTTATCGAACGGCCAATAAACGCAAATGGAAGACATTCAGTCGTTACATGCATAAATTAAGCACTGTGAATAATAATAAAGTATTATGAGAGAGAGAGAGAGAGAGAGAGAGAGAGTGAAACAATCAATAATTTACGAAATGTTTCACAGAAAAGATAGAATACTTTACTACACAGAATGTTTCGAAGAGTTGACGTATCGGAAACAATACGGATATATTTGGAAAAAGAGAAGAAAGTTCATCAGGAAATCTTCAATGATTTTATACTATTGCTATACGTTCCATACCAATTCAGTTTGAACGAATTTAATGAAACATTGTCAGAAACTTGACAAATTTGGATCTTTTTCAAGCTGCTCCAGTTTCATCATGTCGCTTTTCGGCTGATAATGTCGATCCTATGATTTGGGGAAAGTACAGAGCGTGAGAAATAAATTGAATGAAACTCTCTAGTCGACGAAACACGAACGATTCGAATCTTTAGCAGCTCAAGCGACTTCCTTGATAACTCTACACTAGATGCTGTTACCTAATATACTGTTAATGTCTCAATAATTGTCTCGTTCTTTACTGCCTGTTAGGATTGCGACGTCTCCTACATCGCGTTTTCTACCTTAAAAAAATATGCGAGAATATAGGATAACGGTATGGAATGTAAGACATGTATTTAATATAGTATATATGTATATTTATAAAGAAACGTTGCACCACTGCAGCAATGTTCGTAATTAATAAAACA